AAATCGAAGGATATATATAGGGACTTTCGTGCACCATTTACATTAACTCGGACGAAAATATATATGGAAGCTATGTCTAAATTTGAATCGATTTTAGAGTTCGTCCTTGGGCCAAATAAGTGACATATGTCAAATAACATCCAATTCGGATCATTAATGCCACCTGTACTTTGTTTACAATTTAACATGGACAGATGTACGTACCGGGATGCATAAATGGGCCCAGAAAGTGATTCTATGCATATTCTCAAAAGGTACCATGTGTCTATCTCCTTTCCTTTTGCCTGTTACAAACATATGCACAAAGACGAATGTGGTGAAGGGTATATTTTTGGGTGTATTTTTGGAAATGATTTAAAGTAGACCAAGACGCTAAAATTAATTTGTTACAAAGAAATTTTGTTACAGAATCTGGGTTTATTAAAAAAAAACTGAGACCTTTTAAGAAGTGGTAATTGTCCAAACTTCGGAAAAACGTGTAATGGGTTTACAACACCTTGGGCTTATTTCGAAATAAATGAAACCCCTGACAGAAGAGACGTCCAACAGACAGCAAATGTATTTTTGTGGAAATGATCTGAAAGATACCAAGATACAGGCTTATTCTTTGAATTTGCAACGTTAAAAAACAATAATTGTAATTGATTGTTTTTGCAAAAGACCACACAAAATGTTTTGAAGTTAATAAAGGAAAATAATAGTAAAATATTAGGTAATTTGTAGCTCTTGGAACAGATCTAATTTTAAAAAAATTAAACACTTTAGATTTTGCAATAAATATCATAAATAAAAAAAATGAACCCAAAATTATTAATACAAAAAATATATAATAAATATATGCTCACAATAGAGGTATAAAATTAATAAATTTTAATCATTCGGACTTTATACATGGAACCCTGAAAGAATTTTCTTTTTATAAATCTAATCTCATTTCCGCAATTCTCTTTTCTTTGTATTTCAATAATTTGGTTGATACTATTTTCAACAATTTTGGAACGTAAACGTCATTGTATTTTATCTTTGCTCAGAAAAAAATTGAACAAAGAATCTGTTACACCAACAGAACTGCTTATGCATCTTCCCTATTAAATCAACCTTGAAAAAGGCTATGGAGCACCATTCCTCTTCCATAGAAATACAATATACAAACTTTAATGAAGGAAAGCTCTTTTCCAAAATCGTATATTTCATAGAACAAAAATTATTTATATTTTATATATAATGTTTTTTACATATAAAGAAAACCTAAATTTATTAGACAAGCCATAAAGAATATATACAGAGTATAGGAAAAAATATATAGAATAGCTAAAGAATAGTAATAGTATATATAGTAATTATTAAACAAAATTGGTGGTTGTGTTACATTGCGTGCGTTTTTTATTGGCGTGGCCAAAACATAAAACATAAAAAATAATTATTAATTTGTTTTTTTGTTGTTGTTTCGTTAAATTAGTAAAAATAGAATTTTTGGTTTCAAAATATTTTGTAAATATATATAATATAGTATATAAAAAAATAATAATAATTATAATAAATATTAATTAAGTGCGTGTTTACATCAGTTACACTTTGTTTTGTTTTTGCGTTTCGTTTGCTTTACTTTTTCATTTTTTTCTTGTTGCTAGGTTATAATCTTATAATTTATAAATGTTTAAGCTAATACTACACAGATTTTGGGGGGTTTGTTTTATAATGGTTGTTTTTTTTTTCTTTCATTTCTATCCTCTTTTTTATTATTATACACATAAAACATACACAAAAATATATATACGTGTGATTTGTTTCATTTTTTAATGGTGTTGTTGCTCGTAAATATTTATATATCTATATATATTTGTAGAACTCCAAAAACAACACATACGTAGTATAATATTGTAATACGGTGTTTTTTGTTAAATGTTTTGTTGCTTATTTGTTGGTTTGTTGCTGTTATTATTATAATAATAACATCGTTTTTTTCTTGATTTTTTTGTCACTTATAAACTAGTTGGTGTTTTGTTGTTTAATTTAGAAGATGATTGGTTTTTGTCATCTTCAACAAGTAAATAAATTATTTATATATATACGACGAATACAGCGAGTGTATATAGTTTTTTTTCATATTTTGTATCTTTCATTCTAGAACATCTTTTGGGATAATCATTGTCATTATCATAATAATCATCATCATCATTATCGACATCACAATGTTGCAGTATTTATCTAACTATTCTAGCGATGTAATTAATGATCGTGGTGTTCAGTGCTATTGCATGGATACTGTGGGAAGAGTGGTTAAGCTATGGAGGAATTTCTCTATAAAATTATATTTGTTTTCATATTTGGTCTCAATATAAATTAAAAATATTAAATTGGGCAAAAGTTAAATTTTAACAGGAAGTTACTTGTGACAAATGTGATCAAAATGTGAGGTTATAATTGAAGAAAATTAAATGTATTGAAATTTAATTTTTTTCACAAATGATTTATAGTAAATTTAAATATAGAATTTGTAGAAAAATAACTAGTAATAATAATTTAAAAATGTGAGGTTATGTCAAAAATTAAAAATGACAAATGCAATATCCTCTTTTTGGTGTTATAAAATAAAATTGTTAGTTCAAATATATGTCCTGTTTAGAAAAACAGGCTAGTTTAAAATGTGAGGTTATGTTCAATTGTTTTCCTGAAAGTTCGCCCATTAAAGTTGCAAATCAAGACCTGCTAATCTAAGATTATTTATAGCAGCCAATTAATCGGACAATTTTTAAATACATTACAGTTATTGAACAACATTTTCTAAAAAAGTTCGGTAATATTGAAAGTATTAAGTTTAGGACATATATGTTCCTGTGAAATTATTTTCGTTTCTAAAACATTTGTATGAATAAAAAATAAAATCTGAATTTTGCAATTATACCTTGCTAAAAATCTGTATAACACCAGCAAGAGAAGAATTGAACACAATTTACGGTAATTTGTTATTTACAAATTTTTACATATTCTACAATTTTAAAATATTATATAAATTGTGTTTTCCTTTTAAAAATCAGTTTGGAATTAATTCAAATACGGCAACTTATAGTCGCAAATGTAGGTTGTGCCGGCAATTTATGTAGAGGTGATGATAGAAGTTTTTTGTTATCTTCGAAATATGCAAAAAAACTGAAGATATAAGGCCACATAAAAATTGGGTCAACAAATTGGAGGAAATATGAACTTTGGATAATTTAGAAAAGGTTAGGTTTGGGGATGTGCAGTCACTAATGTGGATGCAGCACTCTGACACCTTCCGGTCCATTGTGAGTAGGAGACTAAGTCCAAAAAAGACTCGACCCCGGAGAAACTTTAGCATAATACTATCACTACAATGCATTACTAATTGGCCCTATTGGGCTTCCTATGTATTGATATTGAATAAATGAAATGAAATGAAATATCTTTAAAGAATCGCAATACATTTTTATTAATTCATAAAGGTTATAATATCTTTAAAGAATCGCAATACATTTTTATTAATTCATAAAGGTTATAATTCCAAATTTCAAATACCAAGGAGTTCTTTAATACCTTACCAATGAATGTAGACCACTTTAAAGAGAGGATGAAGAATTTTCTAATGTCGATCGGTAATGTCATTTGATGGCAATATCCAAATGTGGTTCGATTTTGAAAACATTTTTTGAAGGGAACTTTGGATTTTTTGGAGTTGGAGCCTGGTTATAACTTCACATTCCAAATACCAAAGAGTACTTTATGCCCTTAAAATCCCAATGAATGTAGACCATTTTAAAGAGAGCATGACTTCTACCTTGGGTGGACAAATTTTCTAAAGTTGATCGGTGGTAATGTCATTTGGTGGCAATATCCAAATGTGGTTCTATTTTGAAAACATTTTTTGAAGGGAACTGCACATATATTTCCTTTTTTTGTGGTTCTATTTTGAAAACTATTTTGAAATAAACTGAACATATTTTCATTTTTATTTTTGAGTTGGAGTCAAGATTAAAATATCTTGTCCTTTCTTATTTCGATTTCAATTCAGAACTTCGAGGTTATGTCCGGCAACAAGAGTGTGATTTTTTTTAGATAAAATCTATTACAAACAGGTCAAAGAGTAAACTGGTTATTTTCCAGTTGCATTTTTATGAACCTGCATATGATAGATGTAAAGCATACTCAAAACTCTAACTTATGAATGATTAAAAAAAGAAGACCAACAAATCACACATAACCTCATAATTTTATTAAGAATACACCTTTTCTCGCTTACATATTGTCTCTACACGTTACTATATTTATTTGATTTTATTTCTTTATTTAATGTTGATTCACACATTAAATTAAAAATTTGTATATAAGTATGAAAACAACATACATATTTTATATCCTCACATTTTGATATTATTTGATATATGGATATTATTGATAAAAAAAACTAAATGTTAATATCTCCCCATTTTAATTTACATTGAGTAGAGATATGAAAACAAAATATTTTTTTTCCTATAGATTTGAAGTTATTTACATTATATAAACATCTGGTATAATTCCATCCAATAGCTATATAAAACCTTGATCCCACTAGTATCATATTTTGTAATGATGATTGTAACGCTTAGCAATTGTACTTTAAATAGTTGTTTGTTATTTTGTGTTGTTGTTTTTCTTAAACTTTAAAAGTGTATGGGGGCGGCTTAAAAAGGGGCGGGCGGGGCGAGGGTGTTTTAAGGCAGGCGGGATATAATTTTTTGTTTTATTTTTTGCTGGCTTGTTGGCTAAGGCGGCCCTTTTGTATATTGCTAATATGTGTTAAGATTTTATTCCGCTCTATTGATAGACCAAATATAGGGACACAATGTACGGTTTTTGGTTTGGTATCACATACCAAAAACTACAAATTAGAAAAGGAATTTCATTCCTTATCTTGTGTAGTTGTGTGTCCAAGGTATTAGCCCAGCTTGTATTTCTTTCTTTCGTTTTTTGCTTGTTTGTTTGTTTCGCTTTCAAACCAAATTTAGAAACGCGCTCTATTAATATTCTTTATACGTATACCAACTTCAAGTACATGTTCACCCGATGAATTGGCCACATTAACTGTTGTGGCTGTGGTCGAGGAGCCATTCGTATTATTGGTTGTATTATTACTGCTACTGCTATTGCCATTACTGGTGGCACTACTGTTACCTCCATCATCGCCATGTTGTTGCATATTATTGTTATTATTGGCTATGTTGCCATTTGCACTGGACAATGGTGTTCGTCGAATACCCCCTGATGATGTATTCGAAGCATTCGAACTTGCCGAATTTGACATATTATTCTTACAATGATGATTGCAATTATTTCCAGCCGATGCTGGTGGCGGTTGTGCTGCATTGCCACTGTAGTCATGTGGTCCACCCACTGTGTGACGGCGCTTTATCGAACGATTTTGTTTATTTTGTATTTGTCGTTTTTTCGTTAGATTCATATCAGTCTTTTCATCTTTTGTTAAAGGAATATTACTGCCACCACCTGCCATGCTGCCGCCATAGCGCGAAGAATAGTTACGACAATTGAACGAAGCCGAACGATAAAGACGATGATCTCTACGTTTCTTATTATATTTATCTAGTAGAAATGATGGTGAAGCCATGGCCAAAGCTTCTTTGGGATCACTTGTTGTAGAACCTTCTGAATCATCTTCGGAGCAACGTTGCTCATGCACCGATGAAGAGAACCTTAAATTTTTACTAGTAGCATAGGCATTTCTAGCTGAAGAAGCTGTTGTCAAGCTACCCTTTAGAGCACCGATTGTTGTAGGTGTGGAGGCGGCCGTGGGCGGGGATGACAGATTCACCCCTCCACCCACACTGCCAATTGAAGAGTTTATTGGTGCCGTGGCTGAATGTTGCAGTTTGTGCGGTGCACCTTTATAGCCTGTCAGAGGTGATGATTTCTCCTTTTCACTACTCGCCGATTTAGCACTGCTACCCATTAGGGTATTTGTTGAGGTACATGAACGACTGATCATTAAATTATTTGCACCCGTCATATTGTCCAGCGGACAGAAATTATGAAAATGTCTTTCGGGAGACTCATCGGCATAGGGAATGTTTTCGGTTTGTAATATATGTTCACCCAATGTATAACGACGTTGCATTGGAAAGTCGGGTGAACCATTTTCATCATTCGACTCAGAGCCACTGCGTAGTTTGCTAAGCTTGGATTCCAGGGTGTCGGTTATGATGCCAAGTGACATTGAACCTGATGAGAAAAAAAAAACAAGAGGGTGAGGTTAATATGTCCAAAATGAAATAAATAATAATGATAACTTATAAAAGACTGTATATAATAGGTCTTCTAATGTGAAAAGCATCAGAATGCCCGCTATTTATAGAAGAGCTTCAGAAAACCTTCTATGTGTAGAAGATTATTAGACAATAACTTCTTTAGGTCTTCTTAGCTTCGGAAAGTTTCCTTCATAGTCCTTCAAATGTAGAGGAAATCATCAAAATCATGAAAAGATCGTCAAAAGGTCTGCTATGTATAGAAAAACTTTGAAGGGTCTTTTATGTATAGAAGATCTCAAAAGATCTTCTATTCTTAGAAGAGCTTCTAAAGGTCTTCTCTGCATAGAAGAGCTTTAAAAGGTGATCTATGCTTAGAAGAACTTCAAAACGTCTTCTATGCTTAGAAGAACTTCAAAAGGTCTTCTATGCTTAGAAGAGCTTCAAAAGGTCTTCTATGCTTAGAAGAGCTTCAAAAGGTCTACAGTATATAAAATAGCTTCAAAAATCCTTCTATGTATGGAATATCATAAAAAGGTCTTTTATGCATAGAAGAGCTTCAAAAGATCTTCTATATACAAAACGCTGCAAAAGGTCTTCTATGTTTAGAAGAGTTTCAAAAGGTCTTTTATGTTGTGATTTCGAAAATTTGACCTTATTTTAATTATGTTCCCACTTACCCGGCTCACTTAAACGACTATTACTGCTCTCATCATCCGTTAGCGTTATTGAAATATCCACACTTTTACGTTGCGTTTCCTTAATACTGCTACCGCTAACACTACCCGAATCTTTCTCATCCAAGCTGGATTTACGTGCATGACTACGTGCCCGACTGCTCAGGAAACCATGATGATCCTTCTTTTTGGATGTTTTGGCCGACGAGGTCGTCGTACTGCTGCTGCTCGACGATGATGCGGTAGCACCCGATTTCGCATAGTCCAATGACTGAAAATGTAAACGTAAAGTAACACCAAAATCATAAATTGTGGGCACAGCACGACGTCTCTGGCGATATTCGGCCGCTTCGGCTGCCGAGCAAGTCGAATCGCGTGACGATGATGATTTAGAGGTAGTAGTAGCATTGGTGCTCGAAAGTGAACGTGTAGTAAGTGTGGAAATATTGGGTGTCGATTTGCATATGTTTTTTAATGTATTCTTGGTGATTGTGGTGAGAGGTGGTAGAGGTGTAGTGATTAAAGAATGTTTTGTGTTCTTGGTGGAGGTGTTGGTGTTTGTGGTGGTATTGGATGTAGAGTGAAAAGATTTAGATTTACTAGTGCTACTACTGGAAGATTTGCTTACCAAACCAATATCATATGCTGCCGGTTCGGGTCGTTTGCTAGGCTTGGGCTTGCCCAAGTTGCGTATGAAACGTGATGTGCTACGCGATGTGGTTGTGGTGCTGGATGAACTGGATTCCCGTTCGGTGAGTCTTTCAATTTTTGAAATGTTATGCAGCAGCATATTAGTTTGGTTTTCTTCCTGCTGTTGTTGTTGCTGCTGTTGTAGGGTGGTGGATCCCGTCGTTGATGACGATGACGAGGGAGCTACATTATTGCCACAAACATCATCGATATCGGGTGCTTCGCCATTTTCAAAGAAATATTCATACTAAAACGAAAAAATACAAAAAAGGAATATAAATTTTCAATATGAGTCTTCTTTCAGAGAAGTTTCAAACTTACATGTGTCAACAGCAATTCCACAATACGACACTGATGTTTCATATCCTTTACGGCCACATCCAAGGCATCATTCGGTGTGCGTATTATCGATGGTCCAAAAATGATGGCCAAATTTTTCGGCTCCATTAAATTAACATCACAATGTTTGCTGACACGATTCAAATGACGAAATACATGTTTCATTGTTTCGTGCGAATACCGTGGCAATGCCTCCAACAGAGTTTTCAATTCAGTTAATCGTTCCATACCCACTTTCTTATCAGCTTCAATAAATTGATTATAAAAGGAACTTGGCAGCAATGCATCGGGTAGACTTCTTATGAATAATTTAAGCAAACTTGAGACCACATTAACATCTTCCCATCTGACATCTGTATTGCAGCGATCCCATGAGAAATCACATTTATTCACTTGATCGCACAGCTCTGATATGGCTGCCTTATTGCCCGGTATACGATAAATGCCAACAACGCCCAAGCCTTTAGTTTCGACAATATTCGTACAGACATCCACAAGAGTGGGCACGTATTCGTTGTTCTTGGACTGGAACAAAAAAGTGTAGCAGATTAGAAAATAAGTTACAAGTACGACAACATTTTCATTAAAAATCTGCGCTTAGTTGTGGAGAAAAATTTCTTAAAAATCTGTTCTTAGTTGTGAAAAAAAATCTTTAAAAACCAGCGCTTATTGTCGTACAAGTTGTGGAAATTTTTTTTTAAAAATCTTATTGTCATACAAGTTGTGGAGAAAAAATTCTTTAAAAATTCAGGCCTATTGTCCTACAAGTTGGGGAGAAATTCTATAAAAATCCATGCTTATTGTCTAAAAAATGCTCTTTTAGAACTTTTAGTCTAAGATCTTACTTTAAGAAGTGTTATAAAAACTCCCCTTTTGTGGACTTTAGTGTAAGCTAACAAAATTCTTTTTATCAAAACCACACTCACCATGGGACACGTTTTCAATGGTACACCAATTGAACCGACAGTTTTCGACGACGATGACAAATTGGATGGTGATAAATCGGCACTGTGCCCGCTACTGCTACTACCACCGCCACGACGAAACAATAGATCTTTCCAATTTTTGGCTTTTGGCGAACCCAAATCTTTGTCGGGTATATTTTTGTGTGAAGATGATTTGCGTGTTTTCATAACAGGCGATATTGAATCAGTTGCTTCTAATTCGCTACGTGACGTTGAACTTAAGGGTGAATGTTCGGCTTGTAAATGTTGTTGACCGCTGCCGCTTCCTGATTGTTGTTGCTGTTGTACATTGTCATCACAGTAATTGCTGTTGTGTGTTGTTGTAGACATGCTAGCGGGAGTTTTTTGCGGTTCCGCTAACTGTTTACCTTGAGGATCCTGTGATATAAAATGAAATTAATTTTAATTTTATTTATCTCTAAAATTTTTAAATATTTGTCTCTTACATTGTCATTAAATATTAAACTATTCTTCCATTGCAATAAACCGTATATCCTTTTCATTTCAGCACCACTCTTCGTTTTAAATAGAATATCGGTATGCGGCTGATTGTTCGTTTCCGTTGTTTGTTGTTGCTGTGTTGACGAGGAACTACCGGTCGATGATGTCAATTTGTCGGGAACATCATCAATATTTAATTCATTGCCTAATGTGGCTATCGGTGAGGGTTTCGATTGCATGCGAAATACATATTTCTTTTTATCTGATTCGTCAAAGATTTCAAAGTTTCTAATGTCGAGTTCAAGTACCTAAAAATAAAAAAAAATATTTATATAATTATAATAATATAATATATTTAAATGATATACTCACATTGCTATCTGATTTCGTATTACGACTGGGATATATTCTTAACATATCACCTTTAATTTCGATTTTAACTTGGCGCCATGAACGATATTCGGATTGTCGCTAAAATAAAAAAGAGAGTAAATTAGACTTACTTAGGTTATATGAGAGGGGATTTTGGGGAGAATGTATTTAAAATCTTTAAAATTTGGGGCATGAAATAATTCATAGATTTTCGAATGACATGTGTATAGGCTGATTGAAGTTGGTTCATAAGTAGAAGGGTCCGGTAGAAGGATGTACACATACAACCAAAATCATTTGTTAAGCTTTATTTAAACCGGACCCGTCCAAGTTCGTTTAAGGAGTTTAAATGTATTCTATATAATATAAATCGTAGAAGCCCCTCTTGTGTATGCCCAAAGTGGTGCTGGGTATCATACAATCCGGTCAAACTTTGATATTTTCCTATTTATTTCTCTTTCGAGATGAGACACATGATAAAAAGGAAAGTCAATTTCCGACGAATTTCGCCGTTGGTTATGCGGCTCATCATGCACATTGAGCAATGTGGCTTACAAATGTTGTTACTTGATACGAGTTAAATTCAACCGTGTCAAGGTTCGAAAATTTGTCATCACACCAGAACATCCCTTTTCAGAGCAGATTTTTATACCCTCCACCATAGTATGGAGGGTATATTAGTTTTGTTTTTTCGTTTGTAACGCATCGAAATACTCTTTTCCGACCCTATAAAGTATATATATTCTTGATCAGCGTAAAATTCTAAGACGATTTATGCATGTCCGTCTGTCCGTCTGTCTGTTGTAATCACTCTAGCGTCTAAACGAATTGAGATAGAGCCCCAAAATTTTGCATAGAGTCGTCTTTTGTCTGCAGGCAGGTCAAGTTCGAAGATGGGCTATATCGGTCCACGTTTAGGCATAGCTCCCATATAAGGGTACCCCCAAATTTTCGGTATTTTGAGGTTCTTGAGCGTGTTTTTCAACCGAATTCGCTGAAATTTGGTACCTTGAGTTCTTATTGGGTAGCAAATATCCCCACTAAAAATTATAAATATAGGTCAATTTTTTCGGACAGCCCCCATGTAAGGGCACCCACAAATTTCGGTATTTTGAGGTTCTTAAGCGTGTTTTTCAACCGAGTTCTCTGAAATTTGCTACATTGGGTTCCTATTGGGTACTAAATTTCTCCATAAAAAATTATGAATATATTTCCACTTTTTCTGGTAGTCCCCATATAACGGTACCAACTCCAAATTTTCAGTATTTTGGGGGTTTTGATCGTATTTTTCCGCCGAATTAGCTGTAATTTAGTATATTGAGTTCTTAATAGGTACCCACAAAAAATTATGAATATAGATCCATTTTTTCGGATAGCCCCCATATAAGGATACCCCCAATTTTTGGTATTTTGTGGTTCTTGAGCGCGTTTATCAACCGAATTTGCTGCAATTTGGTATTTTGTAGTCGTATATGGTAACAAATCTCTCTACAAAAAATTATTAATATTCGCCCCCTTTTTGGGGTAGTCCCCACATAAACCCCTTTTTTATATTAAAATAGTTATCTGATTTGTTACGCGTTTTTAGTTTGGTTCTAATACTCTGTTGTAATCATTTCACCTGCGGAGGATAGCGAGATAAAAAATTAGAACGTAAGGTTCGATAATGAACTATAGCCGCATTTAGACCTAGCCCCTGTGTGGAGGTACCAGAAGAAGTGGACCGATATTCCCCATCTTCGAATTTGAACTAAGTTTGGAAGAAATAATAATAATAAGCAACGGATTTGGTCCAAAGAAACATGGGATCTAGAACCAATATTTCGATGAGGCACATTTTCAACGTGTTAAAGTGTATACACCGTCATTAGCTGTAAGGCTGAGGGTATAATTATCCATTAAAAATTTCTGAAATTTGTATTATTGTTTACATTATGACATGTTCCCTATATTTTTATTTCTAGTACCTGTCTGTATATCTATGGTGGAGGGTATCCAAAGTTCGGCCCGGCCGAACTTAACGCTTTTTCACTTGTTCTATTCTTTATTTTCCTTTCAGTTTTTTATTTAACAAATGAATTCTTCTTTCAACTTACTTTGCCTTGTATTGATGATGATTTGATTTCCATTTCCGTTTCAAAGATTTCCATATCGGTTGAAATATCTTTTGATTCCATTTTACCGTTTAGATCAATACCACTGAGGCTATCAATGTGAACGCTGTGTGTTTAAAAGGAAACAGAGAAAAACAACGACATTAGTACCAGCAATGAACAAAAAAATATTCCACCTTACCTGTGTCTTAGATCACTATTTACAGATGTTCTACGACTACTACAAGATGCATCCAATTTCAAATCTTCCAAGGCATCCAATGAATCACTGGTACTATCAGCACCACCACCACCCACTGTATCATATATTGGATCAGGATGTTCCTCAATGTGCTGTTGTTGAGATTTTGTGGATTTCGTGGAGAGCGTTTCCGCTATGCTGCTGGTTGATGTGTTGGCCAGCGATGTGGCCGATGTATCATGATAGTCATCATTGGTAGCACGTAAATATGAAATGCGACGCATTGGTTTCGAATCATCGAATGAAGACATGGGTCTGAAACGTCTTATAACATTGCTGCCGCTGCTGCTACCGCCTGAAGCTGTGGATGAGGGTTGTACTGAGGCCGCTGTGGTTAGACAAAAAATTGAGAGTGAGATAAGATTGATTAATTTTAGAATATAAGAAAAAATAAAAAATAAATTGTGGTACATCTGTGTGTAATTGTAAAAAGTTTTGTAATGATGAGCAATAGTATTGAACAGAAATAGTTTTAACAAATTTCCCCAAAGTGTTATCTGTGTATCTTCAGTATTTGTGTAAATTCAAATGGTTAGAATTTACAAGGAGTTATACCTCTCACGTTTGTTGTTTGTGTAGTTCCTGATGCGGATTTTATATTCGTTTCAACTACTGTTGTACCGTTATTAACATCACCTTCTGCAATATCGGCCAATGTTGATTTTATTTCATTTGTATCTGCCGCCGTTAGTTTACTTCCATACTCTGAAAGCACAGCAAAGATAATGAAATCAAATTAGTGCGTGCTTAAGCTCGCAGGAGGAACCTTTTATAGCCGCAAAAAGCGGTACATAAATAATAATGAGTTTATTAATAATGCAGGATATTATTGCATCTTGAGTCATTGCGGCAGAGAAGAAATTATAAAAAAAGCAAAATTATAATAATAAACCAGTGAGCGGAGCAGTATAGTCGGACCGGGCCGACCATACGATACCCTACACAACTACCACGAACTAACTTTCTGAGGATGTTTATTCCGAGTCTGAGTAATATTTCGTGATATTTGCCCCCGCTTGTCCGATTAGAGGTTAACAACACCTCTTCCTTACTTTTTTCGGATATTCAGTACAGTCCTTCTAATTACTTGTCCAGATTACCTTCACGGTGGGTGTGTTGTGATTTTCGGATTATACTCTACTCGAAAACACACAAAAAATTATGTTTTCGGTCCATTTCATCCCAAAATTTTAATCTGATCATCACCGAAAGTTGTAGGCGTTGTTCTTGACCATAATAATATTTCTCCCTCTTATGTGGTAATGGGTTACTAAATAATATCTGAATACATAAGCACCTGTAAATATTTTACTGTAACTCCCACATCTGAGTAGATACATCACTATATTTGGTATCAATTTATATGCTATCAACTCCTGGGGTTTACATCCTCCAGGAGTAAATATATATGCCATAGAATACAAATTTTGTCATTTTTCACACAAAAGTCAGGGTCCATTTGACCCGCTAAATATTGATCGATCTTTATCAAAACATGCATGCTTATTCTCTGGCCCGACCCCCTTCTCCATGCAAAAATTCCCGGTGTTTGGGCCATAATTGCGGCCTCTGGAGCGACCAGAAAAACCGACAAAAATTTAGTATTTGGTCCATTTCATCCCCTAAATATTAACCGATCTTTTCCGAAAACAATAGGGGTCTTCATTGGCCAGAACCCATCCTACATGCAAAATTTCGTGAAGATTGGTCCATAACTGTGGCCTGTATCGTGTTTACAAATTATAATGGACAGACGGACGGACGGACGGACACACATGTCTACATCGATTCAGCTAGTCGAGATATGACGATCGGTATACTTAATGGTGGGTCTAGGACCAATATTTCGCGGCGTTACAAACATTTGGGGCTGCACAAAGCTATAATACCCTGACAACATAGTTGTGTAGGGTATAAAAAGTTAGGAAGCGGGGGTAATGTGTGTGAAGAAATTGCAAACGATTAGTGGTGAAATTAAGGTCTCAATGTAAAAAAATTTTAACACATACAAGCGCAAAATTAATTCGGATAGACCCATAGTTACTTTTAAGGACATACAGTCGCAATCGCTTATAACGACAGCCAAGGGAAGGCGAAATTGGTCGCTATAATCCATATGTCGTTATAAGATATTAAAGATATTAAAGAAAGCACAGAACTTCTCTCGGGACTTTTGGATGCAGTTCTTATAAACTATTTCGACTGTATATAGCATCAAAGGCAAGTCTGTGGATACAGCCTTACATGAGGTGGTTGGACGTATGGAGACGAATATGGAGTCCTCGATATTGAAGGAGCCTTCAACAATGTGAAACTAGAGGCTATCCATTCTTCTCTCGTAAGCTCAGGTATCACCTCACTTTTACAGACTGGATTGATAGGATGCTGGAAAGCAGAATTATCAACTCGTCCTCAGGAGAGAGTTCCGTGAGGAAATCTACCAACAGAGTCACATCCTCTTCTATGCCTTCTGGTGATAAATGAGAAACTGCTGAAATTCGACCATATTAAAATAAAGGTTGTAGCATATGCCGATAATGTAGTCTTGCTAGTCGGTTGGAAGTTTCTGACGACCATTTCAGATATTATGGTGGGCGCCTTTCAACTCTGTCCGACTGGGTACACGCCAATGGTCTCCGTGTAAACCCCACTAAGACAGAATTGATGGTCTTTACTAGGAAACGTGAGATTCCAAATTTCCGCTTGTCGTCTTTGGAAGCAAAATATCTTGGCACAATCCTTGACCACAAATTAACTTGGAATAGAAATTTTGAGGAAAGCTCTAAGAATGGTCTAATAACACTCTATTCCTGCAAGAACTCCATATGTAAAAGTTGGGGACTAAAACCAGAGATCACAATTGGCTGTATGTGACGGTCGTATTCCTCATTCATACATATGGGTGCCTTGTATGGTGGCAGGAGGTCAACAAAAAGATACTGCTGACTAAAATGAACACGGTACAGCGATCGGCTTCGATCCTGACTACCGGTGGGCTAGGAAGCACACCACAGGCAGCCTTGAATGAGATCTTGAACCTCCAACCACTGGACTCTCTGATTAAATTCCAGGCAGCTAGATGTGCCCTGGGGCACCGAGAAACGGATGCGGTAGTCCGGCGGCCCTCAAGGCTTGAAAGTCGTGCACTATAAACTCAAAAGCAATTCTTGATTGCAAGGCTGCTCTGTATGATATATGCGATTGAGAGATCTGTGCAACCACCCATTGGCAAAATCCGCTTGATCTACGGCGAAGTAGTCGGCAACAGATGGTCAAGAGAACCTGGTTGCTGAATCTCGAAAGCTATTTGGCCTCCACTCGCCGAAGAAGAGAGATATTAAAATTATTGGGGGGATCGTAACAGGTCACTGCAAGATTAGATTCCTCACTTCGAAATGGGACTCCAACGGAGATGATTACTGTAGTCTATGTGAGGACGAAGAGGATCTAGAAACAATTGAACATATCCTTCGTAGATGTCCCCCGCTTAGAGACAGAAGACACAGGTAGTTTGGAAGATATTAAATTGATAACCTAGCTTTCTTCTCCAAAATAGACCCCAATCAGATCCTGGGATTTGTCAAAAATTTGGCATGGAGCCTTCTAGGCTCTCCAACTCCAACTATTTTCCCCTCTTTCATTCTCTTTTCTTTTCCCCTTTTCTTTTCAGGTATCAAGGATGATCACAATGGACAATTGTCTCTGAGTGAACGGTTGTAAATAGCAACCGTACATCCTCAACCTAACCTAACCTCAATAAACCTCCGAAATATTCTAAATAATTTTAATACCTCAAAATTACCATATATTGAGATCTCAAACAAGAATGTATATATATAGTCCTATTGAGGGAGGACTCATATCTAGAAAGGTCCAGAGATAACTTATTTCCTTATAAGGTACTGAAATAAATCTAATACCTCCAAAGAAACTTAAAACCTCAAATTGTATGGGAATCTCAGCCGTTCTCTATTTATAAAAAATTTTCGAAAGATCCTCAATCGATAATCTCAGATATACGTCCTCTGAAAGGTTTCTTACAATAATTCAAAAATTACCGTACCACCTCCGAGTTATTCTAAATAATGGTATTCAATCTATATTAAGACCTCAAGCATGTCTTTGGAAAATTATTATATTTTAGGAGACCTCAGCGATTATCTATTTACAAAAATCTTAAAAAGATCAGTAAACTATGGTATATTCCTATGGTGGGTTAAAGACATTTCTACATAAGAATGGGTAGGTTTATTCCTTTGGCGGGTTAAGGACAAATCAAAGCGTTACACATGAAGCAGATTTTTGGCAAATAATTAAATTAAATATAAATATATATTCCAACTCACTGTTATTAGTTTGATGATCGATTGTTGCATTGGCCACACTGGCCTTATAGATTTCCATGCGACTAAAACGATGGCCATCGACCACAGATGATGAGGACGATGAGGATGTTGCGGATGTTCCCGCTGATGCGATTGTTACTGGTGTTGAGGATAGATTAGTTGTTGTTGCTGCGGATGTTGTTGCCGTTGCAGAACTTGGAACTGTCATCTTTGGCGCCGTTGCTGATTGTTGTTGATGATGATGCTGATACACATGCTGTTGGTGTAATTGGCTGTGCATGTGTTGCTGCACCTGCTGCATTTGATGCAATGGAAGATGATGCAGTGAATCATATAAAACACTTGGCTTTTTCATAATGTTGCTGCCCGTGTTGTTGCTGCTGCTGTTGCTATTATTGCCTGGAGCTGTAGATGATGCCATTGTTGCTGCTGTTGTTGTAGATTCAATGGCATTTGTGTTGATAGACAAAGGCTTGAAAGGATCAAAACCTCGGGCTAAATGTGAAACCAATTTGCTTTCAAATCTAAAAGAAAGTCGAATAGAAGAGATAAACGAAATGTAAAAATTAAAAGCCAACCACATTCGCATATGTATATATGAAACGAACAACCACGAAACAAACATCCAACCAATGACCGAACCGACCGAACATTCAGCAAAGGTGATAAGATATTCCAATTGACAATATATGGAAATACACAAAATAGTGTTGTTTCTAATGGACCCCGATAGAGTGATAGGCAGGCAGTGTTTTTTTTTGGTTTGCTGGTCCGGTTCAGTAACTACAGGAGCCAATAGCCCCAGACAGCTAGTCCATTTGCATATGGCTCCTAAGGCTGCTGGCTGGCTAGCTGGATGTCCAGTTCGTTGGTCGATTGTTACACGATGTTGTTGTTGTTTTGGGGATTACTTACACTTTGTTAGTGACACCAGTTTCCTGCAATGTTTCCATGAATTCATAATCCTTATGGTATTTATCACGCAACATTGAACTGCTGCCGTTTGTGGTGCTGCTGGAGCTAATGCCAGAGCTGCTACTGTTGGTGGTGGTGGCGGCAAGTCTCTGTTGTTGACTACGAGCCGTTGTTGAACCATAGATTCCACCAGCACCACTACCTCCAGTTGTACTGGAGCCACCTAAATTCGGTGCGTAATGCATATCACAGTTTGCTGTTAGTAATTCTCTCGTACTGGACGTCGATGAAGTGGCCGACAGTGGTTGTTTAACTAAGGTACGCACTTGTCCTCGTGCCGTTGCATTGCTGCTGCTACTGTTGTTGTTATTGTGAAAACTTAAACCGCCAACAACGGCTGATGATGATGAACCGGATCCCCCCACAGATGTCGATGATGTTGAGACCATCGACAATTGTGGACTGCCTGAGGGTGGTGTATGAGGAAAGAAATGTTGTTGTTGTTGCTGCTGTTGTTGTTGTTGATGGACATTAGGTAGCGGTGATTTGAGAAATTCTTCCTTTTGTTTTATCGATTCACGCAAGCGTATCATTAAATCGCTGGTATCAACAGCAGCATTGGAAGCATAAAATGCGGCAGCATTTTGCTGTTGTTGCAATTGTTGTTGGCGGGTTAATACTGTTAGATTTGCTGGTGGTGAACTGGAAAAAGGGAGAAGAAAAAGAAAAGACGGGAAATTAAAATAATTTTTATAATAAGGGTATCTAGAGAAAAAATACAGATGTGGATTAAAACTAATTTAGTATTGGAGACCTCAGAAGGCATGTAGAGAACTTTTCTAAAAAATCAGTAGAATAAAGACAGCTTCAAAATTTGTTATTTAAATGGAGGTGACACTTAAACAATTTTTACATGAAGCTAATCTTCTTTTAAAAAATTGATCTACATTAAAAATCGAAAGAAATAGCAATGAAGTGTTTTTAACCGAAGATAGGAGTCTAAGAGATTCTGGTACATCATATAAAAATAATTGAAGGATTAAAAAAGGATTAATCTCTAGAAGGTCCTACACAACAATCTGGTATTTGAACTTGATCCTAGTATGAATGAAATTTTACAATGATCCAAGCTTATCCCTTCGATAATCCCGCCGGACAGACGTTTCTAAATCGACTTCAAACTGTTTACAAAGGATTTGGTATCATACGAGGGCAAAGCGCGGTATAAACAGAAAAAAGTTAAGTGTTTTGGAAACTTCCATATCTGTTAAGAACACATGTAAAATTCTGTTTCGATCTGGCAACTCCTTCATATAGAAACAGGTGTTCAAAAAAGACACATCCTCAATATTTTTACGATGTAAACGCCCATTTCTTATTTCTTCATTGTAAAAAAAAATTGCGGATGCATCTTTTTCGAACATCTTTCCCTATATGAAGAAATTGACAGATCGATCATAACGAAGATGGAAGTTTCCAAAAACTTAACTTTTTTAACTAAAGCTTGACACAGGTTAAAGGTTGCAGTCTCATAGAAGAACTATCTTTTATTGAAAACATCAAAGGAGTCCTTACGATGATATGCATGAAAATCACTAGAAAATATCAAAAACAGAATCGAAGAAGCCTCATAAAAGAACATCTTCTCAACATATAGAGGACCAATGTACGATGATGTTTGGAAAGTATTAATATTGTAATAGACCTCGTAAATCGAATACACTGATGTACGGTACATTTCTAGAAATTTGTTTTCTATATTAAAATTCTTTATAATATCTTCCATCTATACAAGACATCTAGAAGGTATTCATAAGGTGATCCAAAATATAAAAGACCTTTCATTTATAAAAGACCATCGAATGGTCTACTAACCACAGAAGACTTTTGAGGCGTGTTATATCTATAGGAGAACTCTGAAAGGTATTCTTATTATGAATGACCTTTATAAGACTTTTGAATAAAGTTCATCTTTATAAGGTCGGCCTTCTAACCATAAAATGCCTGTAGAAGTTATTCTAACATAAGGAAGACACTTAAAAGGTGATCTAACGGAAGGAGATTTCTACAACGGGGTTTAACTATAAAGGCCCTCATAAAGAACTTCAACAGAATTTCTTCTTAGAAGACCTCCATAAGATTGTACAAAAATATATGTCGATCGTAGTCTAGGAACAGCAATCGGTGCAGTATTTTCACAAGGCATATAGACGCACTTTTCTGATCTTTTAAAGAGACATTTGAAGTCACAAAAGACTTCGAAAAATTCAGAATTGAATTTATTTCAAAATCTTCCGCCAGTTGGTAGGAATTCCTAATATATATGCTATGCTGGCCTTCAGAACCACAATCAATCCATGTTATTCCTTTCGCACATCTCCCTCAACCTAACTCTGCTGTAAACTATTTGACATTAGAATATTTAATTTTTTTTCTCAAATATCTGTCATTCATGGTTTCTTATCTTTATAATTGTTTTTTTTTTTATTCTTTTGTATTATAAAATAATTTTTATAATTTTATTTTAGCATGATTCATTGGGTTGAAGATTTGCGGTTTCATTTATATTTTTTTCATTATTATTAGTTTTTGAGTTTATCTGTATAATTTGATCGCTGATGCATCAACCACCGTCAGCCAGCGAACAAAGTTAACCAGTATGTCTACCAATCCCATATTTGCATATTTGCGATTTGTGTGATTATAGACAGGTTAAATGTTGTCATTCGGCGTAGGCAATGGATAAGCAACTATTTTTTTTTTGTCGAATAGTTCTCTTCATTTTGGGAATGTATTTCGGATGAATTGTTAATTTTTAAATAATTAAATTGGTAATTTAGATAATTTTGGTAATTGGAATTACACAGTTTGAATATTAACAATATTTGTAATAAAAAACTATCAGAAGATGTTGGACTTATTTTTGATTAAAATTTCAATAAACCACAACCACAAGTGATATATTTATATAGATATGCTTCTACGTCAACTGTATTCGAACGACCTGGACGTCTAGCAAATATTGTCTGTTGTCAGATTTCAAATAAAATTATTCACGACAGCAATGTTCATAGGATAAAGATTTGATCGCCAAAATTCGTTTATATTTTGAAGCAAAGGATAAATTGTCTAACAACTAATTTGAAAGTATCGTTAGGGGGTTGCCGATTGATTTGCAACCCTTCAACCTTTGTGTAGTATACAAAATAGTATTACCTAAGAAAGTCGCAGGACTTTTATTTTAAAGGTTTAATGATTTTTTTTTAGAAATTGTGACCATTTGGAATAGACCGATAGACGCATACATTTAAGCATTGCCTATTTTTCATGAATACATTGTAATGTAAATAAAGTTTTTGGGAGAGGAGGTTCTGTTACCTTCCCCACAGAGGATTAACATTTTGAAGTGGACCGATAGATAGGCTCCATTTTGTTTGTCTTACCTAGATTTCCTAAAAAAACTACAATTTGCAAAGCTAGGATCAAATCCAAAAATTTCAAAAGTTGTGATCTGATGGCTCCATTTTTTGGTATTTATCAAAAGCATACGCTTTGTAAAGTTTGATCCAAATCAGGGAGAATCCGATTCATCGAATTTTCACTATATACCAGATGGAGAGGAAGATAGTCTCCATCTTTGAACATGATCGAAATTTAAAAGAAATTTTACTATGACCAATGTTTATAGAGAAAATAGAAGAGAAGAAGTCACATAGAAGAACTATCCTCTATAAGGTATTATATTTATAAAAAGGTCATCTATCTATAGGCTACATCAAAACATGTATTAATTTTATAAAAAACCCCAAGGGTCTGTTTTGTCTAAAGAAGATATTCGGTAGGTATAGAGGAATTATATATCATGATTTGTATATAGTATTAAATTTTTAATAGACCTCTGGAAGTATTCGATCTCCGGAACATTTCCGGAAAGTTATATTTTGTCTATAAAACGCCTTCATAATGCCTTCGATCTTTAGAATACCTGAATAAGGTTTTTCATCCATAAAAGGTCTCCAAAGGTCTCCAAGGGTATTAAGCTATAGAGGTCCTCTTAAATAGTTCTTCTTCTTAATATAAAAGATTGATCTCCAGAATATTTTATAAAGGCAAATTCTAGAAGGTCCTCCAAATATGATCTCTGGATGATCGTCTATCTATAAGATCTTCTAAATTTAGAAAATCTCCTTGAGGTTTTTCGAATATAAAAGGGGTTTAGTATAAAAGATATCCAGAAGATTTTATAAATGTAGACGGCTTCTAGAAGGTCTTCCAAATAGGATCTCTGGATCACAATCTCTATCTATAAGATATTTAACTTTAGAAAAACTCTTGAAGTCTTCTATAATTGTATTCTTGTATAGAATACCTATAGAAATACCCTTTGATATGCATTACTATAAACGTTTTATAGATAATATCTACTATGGAAGTCGACTAGAAGTTTTATCTCCTATAGGATGTCTTCTATCGATAGAAATCTCCTCTATATCTAGATGCAAGAGAAGGTAAGGTATATATAAAATATCTTTTAGAACATTAAGCTTTCCGGGGAACTTCCATCCAAGGTTTTCTACAATCAATAGAAAACATTTAAAAAATCGAAATTATCCTGCAGAAGTCAGCTAGAAGTTTTAGGTCTTCGGAATTCTATATACTATGTAAATATCTTCCATCTATAGAAGCCCTGTAGAATGTAGGTAAAATATAATTAGATGTACTTCCAGAATATCATAGCTAAATGTTAGACCAATTGCCGCAAAATTTTGCATATAGGAGGTTTTCTATCGATAGAAATCTCCTCTATATCAAAATGCAAGAGAAGGTAAGGTATATATAAAATATCTTTTAGGACATTAAGCTTTCCGGGGGACTTTCATCCAAGGTTTTCTACAATCAATAGAAAACATTTAGAAAATCGAAATTATCCTGCAGAAGTCAGCTAGAAGTTTTAGGTCTTCGGAATTCTATATACTATATAAATATCTTCCATCTATAGTAGGTAAAATATATTTAGATGTACTTCCAGAACTTTATAGCTAAATGTTAGACCAATTGCCGCAAAATTTTCACAAAGTACTGAAGTTATTATAAAATAACGCGTGTCAAGTTTTATTGAAATCGGTTTGCGATTTATATAAAGCTTCCATATATATTCGTCCGATTGTATGTAAAAACTGTACCTAAAGTCGCTCCATTTCTTTCGATTTGCACGAAATATGGCACACCATACTGAATTGAGTCTAGAATGATGTGTGATAAGTTTCGTGAAAATCGGTTCAGATTTAGATATAGCTCCCATATATATTCGTCCGATTTTATGTTAATTGAGCACAAAAGCTCCTATATTTCTTTCGATTTGCACGAAATTTGGCATATCATACTGAATTGAGTCTAGAATGATGTGTGCTAAGTTCCATGTAAATCAGTTCAGATGTAGATGTAGCTCCCATTTATATTTTCGTCCGATTTTATGTAAATAGTGTACCAAATAGTGTATATATTTCGAACTACTTTCCTTACTGGTTTAAGAATACTTTTTTGTGATCTAGACGTGGATTTTTAAGAATATTTTTGAAGCTTCTGGAGGCGTGAATTAAAAAAATGTAAACAATATTTGAACTCCAGTCTTGCATCTACATACATAGTTTGCTTTGATTCTTTGACACTATGCACGGATTTCCTGATAATTATCAACAAAT